GTTTTGCTTTAAGGCCAAACAAGAAAGGTTAAAACAGTGCTGAATCAAACAGAAGGTTTTCCTTCAAGGCCCTAGTTTGCTCAAAAAGACTGTCTGATGACAGATACAGGGTAGAAGAGGACAAAACAGGGTATTTCAGTGCACTTTTTAACGAACTCATCAACACACAGCTTCTTCAAAAAGAATCCACAATACAGCTGACCCATTAAAGAATATCAGTCATTTTCTCAAAACATCCCTATGTTTAGAGCTACGAAGGAGGTTAAATTAATTTAGAACAAAATTCTCAAGTTACAGATGAGGAAATAGGTTTGGGGAAGTTAAGAGACTTGCTCAAGGACACTGGGCCAAGAAAGGGCACCAGCTTTGTTAGAAGCTGACATGGCTGGCTCACGGGAGGGAGCTGCCTTTTCCATTGCATCATTCAAGATAGCACCAAAGCAGTTTCCAGGAATTTTGATAAACAAAACAAAACAAAAATAGTGGCATGCCCTTTTAGGATCCCAAGTCCTTTCCTTTCCATAAGGCAATCTTAGAAACAGTATTAAGAGGACTTTCAGAAAAATGACAACATATGGAATTTTTTACGGATTGCTGTAACAGATAAAGCTATCTAAACAATGTCAAAACCTCCAAAAAGCAGGACTGTCAAATACTCTCAACATTCTGGGACAACAGAAAAACTCCTCCCGCTGCTCTTAAGCAGTATTGGTTCATTCGCACCTGTGCAGTCCTGGCTGGGGACATTTTCCCGCACCTGTTTCCATCTGCACCTGAGCAAAAGCACTACCTCTGGAGTTTATGACTCAGTGATGAAGGACGCTGGCTGCCGAAAAATGATTGAGAGGGAGGGGTCAGGAGAGAGTACGTCCATAGCGTTTCTTTCTTACAGCTTTTCTTTTAGAAAGGACAAATCTGAAAACGTTCTCCATCCCACATACTAATACATCTCACGAAATTTTGTCATGAAAGAGTGCAACACGAATCTAGGAAGCTTCCCAAACCATTGCACCAAGCCTGTTCTGATGGGCAGTCACTGGCTAAATAAACAAGCAAACAAACAAAATATCTTCCTCGAAACTTTGGTAAGGAACACATCTCTCAAGCTTTTCCACTTAAGTTCAGGAGTCTCACTATCTTCAAGCTCTCATGGCCGGGTAGGTTCAGTTTTCCTTGATATTAATCTAGCTACAGTGTTTTGGAAACTGCAGGTGCTCAAAAAAGGGTACAAAGCCTATATTACTTTCAAGCCAAAGGATTTTTTTTTTGTCTCTGAATGACCCCAAAACAGTGCCAGCCCCAGGGTTTGCATTTCCTTCTCCCTCCCACAGTGAGAGATGCAAATGTAAGAATCCGAGCCAACCCCCATCAATCCCACAGCCACGTGCTGTCGCTCGCTCCTCCTTGTGAATTTCAAGACAGGAAGATGAAAGAACGTGGCGTCGTAGTAAACCATAGTAAAGAGAGGAGGGAAACAAAATGGGGCTTGTCACATGGTCACAGCCCGAATTTTTCTCAATTAAAAATAAGAGGAAGTGTGTGTTTCCGGCCTCCGTCAACCGGCTGGTTGGACTTTTTCATTCTTGGGCTTGTGGTCTAGATGCACCAATAGGGCAGCATGCATCATATCCTCTGATGGGGGGCAGGCTGGGAAGTGGGGTTCGGCTCGGCAGGCTCCCCAGGGAAAGCGACAGAGACAGAGCCGAGTGGGAGAGCAGCAGGGGACGCCAGGCCCCGCCCCCGCCCCCGCCCCTCGCGGCTCAGCCACTCCTCATGCTGATTGGCTCTGGCGCAGGCCAATCTGTACCCAGCCCCCCCCCCCCCCGCGGAGGTGCGGGCCTCACTCGCCACCGCCCACCACGTGGCCCGGGAAGGGGCCCGGCTGGCCCGGACACCGGAGAGACACCAGAGACGGGCGGGGGTGCGAGACTCGCGGGCGGCCTCGGGCAGATCTCCCACCCCCAGCCAGAGGGGAAGCCAGGGCCAAATAAAAAGGGAGGAATGCAGGAAGCGGAGGTGACCCTGGAAAAGGGAAAGTGGCGGGGCCAGGAGGGTCTGCGCCAGGTCGGAAGGCCGCACGGCGAAGAGCAGGGGGAGGAGAGTGGCAGGGATGGGGACGTAACTGCAGATATGGAACCCCTGAAATCACGGCAGGGAAAGCAGTGAAAAGAGGAGAAAGGGCAACTTTTTTTTTTTTAAGGGGGAGGAGCATAACAAAAGAATGGCCAAAAAACTCAAAATCTGAGCCCCAGAGGGATGGCTCGGGTCTCGGTCTGAGGGAGCCCGCCCTCTGTCCAGCTGCCCTGTCAAAACCACAAGACAAATAGGAGGTGGACGCTGACCTAAGGTGGCCGGGCTGCTGTCCTAGGGCTTCCTCTGTACCCTCGCAGGGAGCAGGCCACAGGCACTGCTCTGTGAAATTCTAAAAAGGAGCAAAGAACAGGCAGTGCCCGGAACAAGAAATAAGAGGTGGGAAACAAAGGGAATGGGAGGGGAATGGTAATGGAAAATAAACCAGGAGGTCAGAACTAAGCGGCAGGAGACACAGTTCGGCAAGAGAAAGGAGAAACAAGAAAAGGTTGTTGGATCCGCCAAAGTCCTGAGCACCTGTATGACCTCTTTCCAGGGACAGTGAAAAACCCTAAACAGAGATGTTCAAAAGACAGGCTAGGAGAAAGAACACACATCCCTCAACTATTCTTGGTCTGTTTCAGGTTTTACCTGAGGCAAAGACAGCAGTTACTGAGGAAGTTAGAAAAACAGTGTTTCCTCAAACTTTAACCTACTCATTCTGAACAGAAGGTGCTCGCCTCTGACAGGTCTGATTGCTTCCTATTTCAGATGAATTCGGCCAGATAACCTCTTAAACCCAACGGCAAAGGGAAGCAACCGGAATTGACGATGCTGATGTACATTTGGTGCCCAATTTAAGACTCATACATTTACATCTTACAAATACACACTGTAGAATTTTACTGGCATGATAGGATCAAAGCATGCATGGTCCATTGCTACTGCAGGATGATTAGGAATATCATCATATTATTTTCCTAGAGTACATTTTCCCAAGAAAGCCAAGAAGAGAAGCTAGGGATTTGTTTTGTTTTTGTTTTGATTGCATTTTTCGTGTATCCTCAACATAAAGGATTTTAAATCCCTTTTACAAAATGAAAATCCCATTTGATTACCTGGTTGGTTTGTTCAAGGCAAACATTTATTCCACTCTTTATAAAGAAACCTGTACAAGTCAAGAAAACAGGTGAGGGAAATCTAATTGCTTTTTAGCCTTTTCTTTCATCTCCTTCACAAGCAAAATTTTAGTGGGCTTCTTTCCTTCAAATTCTCACTAAGTTATAAATGAAGTATTTTACAATGCAAATAGCTAAAGTGTAACAGGGATTAAAATGCCACCTGAAATAAGCAAAATTTTTCCACTGACAGTGACATGTACAATTAAATCTCTCCTCTAGTGAGTGATGAAAACCAATGTTGAGATAAATACCAATAAGTGCTTTTCATAGCACTATCACCTAAAATTTTAGTTTTAATGTTCAAACTGTATCTTGTTCTACAAAATACAGAATACCACCAGTCAGGTGTTAAGACTCAAGGAGACTGCCCACATAATACACAAATCCCTACCTACTGATAGGAACTCAAGACACAAATTAATTTCTTATGAATGGCCACATAATAAAAAGAAATGCTGTTAAAAGCTCATTCTGTGAAGCATTTATAAAACTCACAAGATAATCAGTTTGTCATAACAAAGTGTTTCCAAATGCTGAAAACTTCTACAATGCCAACTCATCACATTATCTGCAAAGTATACTCTTTTTCTACCCACAATTACGACCACTAGAAAACAGACTCACAGAACGAAGAGCAGACTAATTTCCTATTACAAGTGTTTTTCATTTTCAATACAGCCTTCACCACAGAAGACCTAAAGCCAACTTGCAACATCTGAGGCATCTACTCTTGAACTTAGAGGACAACAAATATCCTAAGAGTAAAGAAGAGTACAGAGAGGTTAGCCCTCACATTCAGTGCAAACCAAAACAACACAACCTCCCCTTCTCTGAATTAATGTGCCTTCTTTCCACCATAAAAATGTTAAGTAATTTTACGGAAGATGTACAGTAGCCCCCAAGTGATATGTGTGAAGCTTCAGTGCAAGAAGAGACAACTGCAAGACAGACATGCTGGGATGAACTTCCGTAACTCTTAACTCATAATGGGAACCACACACATTCAGTTTATGGCATATCCTGTAGAAAAGCGGCCATGCCTGTGAGATGCTGGGTTGGTGTGTGAAAAATATCTCACGAATCCTGATACCAGAACAAAAAGAAAATGTCACCCATAATTACCTACTCAAGAGATCACAGATCAGTATTTCTCTCTAAATATGTATGCCTATAAAGCTCTGACTCCTGTATCTTTTTAGGCCAGTATGAATAAAAAATTAATGTTTCCTGTTGCTGTTTATGTTGTCTTGGTATTGTGAAATCACAGAATAAAAGTACACACAGCAACTCGGTAAGATCAGTCTTCAGAGCTCTGGGAAACTTAAGGGTAGCCTCTGTACCAACAAGTATTTTTGTACATCAGTCCCTTCCAGGGTCTGATCATACTAGAGTTAGAAGAAAACTTCAATAAAAGCATGAAGGTTCTTCTATACATGTGCATGAACTTTATAAACATCAGCACTGGTGTTATAACCAGAAAGTTTTTGAAAGACTACAGCAAGTTCTTCACTTGGGATTCTCAATGAAAAAGCCCTCCTGTGGCTGCTTGCTCCTACACATTTATTTGCCTGCCTGCCAGGTGTTGTGGGCTGAGTATTGAGTTCCCAGACCACCCGCCACCACCTCCTGCAAGTGCATTCTCTCCAGGGAAGCAGCAGGAAGGCGCTTGGAGGGGCAGGGGCGGGAACAGAATTCAAGCACAAGGCTAGAAGCAGTTTTGTCTTCTGACTTTGACACCATGAAACGCACCTGCTGTGATGTCCAGTTGAACTACTGGCGGTCCTCTGGCTGCTTCTGGAAACTGATGCTGGCATAGGCGCTTAAATCCTCACTGGAGCGGCTGGTCGAGCTGCTCTCACTGCTGCCCAGGGGATGATGAGGGGGTGGGGGAAGAGGAGCCTGCAGCTGAGAGGGGCGCTCCTGAGGGCGCTGTTTCAAGTCTTTGACCAAATCCAGGTCTATGTAGTGAAGACCATTTTCCAAACCCCCAGCTGCTGCACAAGCTTGGGCCGTGTCCTTGGGGGCACCCCCTTGCTCCCCAGGTCTTGGCCACACGTTCTCAAACGAAGCAGAACTGTGGCGTTTCACATCCTCGCTGCTGCTGCTGCTGCCACCACTGCCCCCTACTGCAGCCCCCCCTCCAAAGGGCACCGTGTTGCCCGCACGGGTGGCGGCAGGTGTTGAGGAGAAGGTTTCGGAGCTATGCCTCCGCCGACACCCTGGTGCGTCCGCGCGGATCACTTTGGCACTCTGGTTGCGGTTGGGACTGAGGTTCACCCTGGTGAAGGCGCTCACGCCCCCAGGTCCCTGTGGGCCCCCCAGCAGGGAGGAGTGGGCCGCCAGCTCAGCTGCTCCTTGAGGTGCTGTGGGGGAAGCAGGGGCTGCCGAAGATGAAGAGGGGGCAGCCACGGTGGCCCTGGGCAGGCTCACCTCCTCTGCAATGCCTGTCCGCATGTCAGCATAGCTGACGGGCGTGACTGGTGAGGTGTCCACGTAGTTCTGGCGAGGACAACCCATCTGCATGGTCATGTAGTCCCCCCGGCTGCTGGGCACTGCCCGGGTAGGCCTGCAAACGCTGGCAGCCCCCGGGGGAGCAGGGCCCGCTCTGCCCGTCTCTGCCCCACTACTCTCCTGCCAGGCTGCCCTCCGGCCAGGCCCCAGGTCCATGTTCATGTACTCCTCGGTGCCAGTCTCTTCCTCCCTGGGAGCCGGCTGGAGCTGACACCGGACAGAAGGGAAACTGCGGGAAGCCATGGGACCAGAGAAGTAGCCAGGCTGGCCGCTCCCAAATTCAATATTCACATATTCTCCTGGGCTCTTGGGCTCTGGAGGGTGCACCAGGGGCGGCTGCTGCTGCTCCCGAGCCCGAGGTAAGGTGCTGGCCTTGGGATCCCCCAGGGACAGCCTGGTGGGCCGGGCCAGGCGGCTGTTGCTCTGCGCAGCTGTGTCCACCTTTCGAGGCAGACGGGGCTGCAGGACGTGATGGTGGGGATGCGGGGGACCGGCCTCCGGCCTCGCCCCGCAGTAACCTCCACCCAGACTGTCGCTGCTGGTGGAGGACGAAGAATCTTCCGCCGCTGCAGCGTAGAGAAGACGACCAGAGCTGGAGGAGAGGCGGAGGTGCTGGTGCCGGGCACCTTCCTCCGGCTCCCCAGGCCGCTGGGTATGCTTAAAGGACCTTGGCAATGAGTAATAGGAGAGGACGGGCTTGTGCTGGGGGTCCTCGGAGCCGTAATAGCAGTCAGAGGGGCTGCTGGTGTTGGAGTCCCCAACTGGCGACATGTTCATGTAGTCGCTGGTACAAGGCAGGAGCTTGCTGCCACCGCTCTCCACAGGGGGCCTGGGGTGAGACAGGGCATGAGAGTGGTGGCCCCCAACTCCATTCGTCCACAGCTTCCCATAGCTACTCCCGGAAGGGGCGGCGCTAATGCTGCTGCTGCTGCTGGACCCGCCTCCGATGTCCGGGGAGCAGCTGCCGCTGGGAGACATCATCATGTAGCCGTTGGGGTCGACCCTCTGGGGATGGCGGCGGATAGGGTTGATGATCTGCTGAGGGGCCGACACGCTCTTGGGACTCATGGGCATATAGTCCCCGCTGCCCTTTCGGCTGCCAGGCACTGGGGCCACCCCTGGAGACATGGGCATGTAGCCGTCATCGGTGTGCAGGCCGGAGCTGTCTGGGCGGGGGTGGCCCCCACGCTGCTCCATCGGGTGCATCTCCAGGCCCTCCTCAGGGTAGGAGTGGGTGGGCACAAAGGCGGAGTGCCGGTAGCTGGGCAGTCGGCCTCCACTGCCACCTCCTGGCGGGTAGGCAGGCATCATCTCCGTGTACTCCTCAATGGACGCCACGGAGGACTGCGAGGGCGTCTTCTGGTGGGAGATGGTCGGGGACGTCCCTGCTGAGTGAGTCCTCTTCCGGAACCGATTCTCCAGGTCCGCAGCACTGGCGGCTTCCTCCCCAGCCAACGCCGGGCTGGTGCCCAAGCCAGCTCCGGGGAGGTAGCGGTGGCCATTGCCACCCCGGGACAAAATGTAGTGACCATTGGGAGCCGTCAGGGTGGAGGCCCCCTTGCCGCCCATGCAGATGTAGTTGCTCAGCTCCTCCTCTCCACGGGCTGGTGGGGTGTGGCCCAGGGAGTCCGGGGTGACACTGCGGAAAGAACTTCGGAAATCACAGGGACTCGAGCCGTACTCATCAGAAGAGATGAAACCGCCATCGCTGGGGGAGCCTGAAACCGAAGCACTGGAGCGCCTGGGAAAGAGGCAGTCTGAGGTGGAGCCGTGGCCGCTGGTGCTGCTGGAGGACAGGCTCACGGGGCTGGTGGCCGAGGGTGAGCAGCGAGAAGACGGCATGGGGATGGAGCGGCTGTGGTTGAGTGGGGGGTGCAGCCGGGAGCTGCCCCGATGCCGGTGGGCATGGGTCCTGTTAGTACTGGGACTCACAGGACTGCCATCCACCGAGGCTGGCCGGGACATGGTGCCCTCACCGTCGCTGGAGGCGCGCACGCGGAAAGACCCGGGCTTCCCGCCCACCATGCTGGCCGGAGAGGTGGCGGTGATGCTCTCGGTGCGGGACCGGCGGGTCAGTCCCACCTGGCTGGGCGGGGGGTTGTTGAGATGGTGCCTGCGCAGGGGAACGCTGATGGGGTTGGAGCAGTTGGATGAGGACTGACTCTTGCTGCGGGGGCGAAACTCGTCGCTCATAGCCCGCATGGCTTCCAGGATGGTCTCGTGCATGTTCTGGGCCACCACCGAGTCGTCCACCTGCATCCAGAACTCCCCGGGCCCTGTCACAGCGGAGCGGCCCACCTCAATGAAGAAGAAGTTCTCTGAGTGGCCGCAGCGCCTGATGTTCATCAGCTGCAGCACCACGGCCGCCGCCTCCGAGTTCAGCTTCACGAAGCTGATGGTCTTGCTGGTCAGGCAGAGGCGGTAGATGCCGATCAGGTTCTTTGTCTGACCCAAGCCCTTGGGTTTCAGGATCACCTGCCAGACCTCCTTGAACGCAGGTCCGGGGGGCACATCTCCGTAGCTCAGGTCCTCCCCGGCCTCGCCAACGCCAGAGCTGCCGCTGCAGCTGCCCCCGCCGCCTCCGGCCCCGGGGACTGCGGCCCCATCGTGGTGGCCCTTGGCTCGGTTGTGCAGCTGCAGGAGAGCCTGGTACCAGCTGTCTTGCTCGGCCTCGCTGTCCGCCGCAATGGCAAAGTGCTCGTCCCGGGTGTAGAGAGCCACCAGGTGCTTGTTCTTGGAGTCAGCCCGCTTGTTGATGTTGAAGCAGGTCTCCAGGGGGATAGAGCGTTTGGGGGCGCTCGACTTGTGCCGCCACTTCTTCTCATTCTCGTAGTACTCCAGGCGCGCCGGGCCCCCGGCCTCGCTGGCAGCCCGCAGCACGAAGAAGCGCTTGTGCATGCTCTTGGGTTTGCGCAGGTAGCCAACCTTGCGCACGTCCGAGAAGCCATCGGTATCTGGAGGGCTCGCCATGCTGCCGCCGCCGCCGCGGAGCAGAGGGAGGCGCCGAAAAACAACTGGGTGGGGGACGGAGGCTCCTCGCCGCAGCCCCGCACATGCAAACAGGGCTGGAGGCAGCAGAAACCCCGACTCCGAAATCCACGCCGCCCCCCGCGCTGGAGAGGGAGGGGCCGCCCGAGGAGGACGCGGTGGCTGCGCCAGGGAAGAGCCCGGTCGGAGTTCACGGGCGTTTCAAGCCCGAGGGGGAGGCAGTGCGCCCGGGGCGAGCGCAGCCGCGATCCTCTAAGAGCCAAGTCTCCCCTCGGCCGCCACAGCCGAGAAGCAGCGAGGACGCATCCCTCTCCGCCTCCGCCGAGGTCCCGCGCGGGGAGGGAGCGGCGGCCGGGTCCCCGCGTGGCCCCTCCAGTCGCGCGCGCCTTCCCTCCTGAGTTCCCCTCTGGAAGTAGCGATTCCCGAGGCAAATTAAATATCCTTGGGCAGGGGGAGGCGGGCTGCCAAGTCCCAACGTTGCACGGGGCTCTCCCTCCTCCTCCTTCGCCGACTCCTCCGCCTCCTCCCACCCCCAGCCGTCCCCGCCGCCACCAGCCGCCCAAATACCAGCTCAGTCGCGGAGACCGCGGCGCTGCGGCTGTCGCTGCCGCCGTCCGCGGACGCGTCCTCTGCAGCCCACGCTGGAGCCCATCTCGGCGGGCGGGGGGAGTGGCTCTTCCACGCGAGACGCTACCGGGCAGCCAGGGACAGTCCGGAGGGACGGGCTCATCCCTGCCCCAAGCTCCGGTCGGCGTGGGGGGGGAGGAGGGCGGACGGGGGAGGGCTGGGAAGGATTCGGGGAAGACGCCTGTTCCCCGGGAGGCGCAGCCGCCGCAGTTACTTCTCCCCTCCCTCCTCCTCCTCCTCTTTGGAGAGTTGCCGAGAGCCCCAACCAAAACAAGCGCCGGCGTCTGGCTCCGCGCGCCGGCCCCCTCCGACCGCGCGCCGTCTCACTCGGAGGAGAAAAGCACGTGACGGAGCCTCCGCGCTCGGCAGCCGGGCCACCGCCGGGAGGCTCCCGCCCGGGTCTCCACATTCCGGGCCGAGCCCGCCCCGCGCCCGCCCCTCTCCGCCCCCCTCCGCCCCCCGGCCGTGCAGCGGAGGCGCCCGCGCCCGGCCTCTGTGCGCAGCGCTCTGGCAGCGCCCCTGCGCGGCCGGCTGCCCCGGCGCAGCGCCACGCAGGGCGCCCCCGGCCCGCAGGAATCCCCGCGGCGGGCGCGGGCGGGGTGTTTGGGTGGCTACCCGAAAGCACGAGGGGAGTCTGGGAAAACTGGAGGGGGCGAGCGCGGGAAGACGCAGGAGTGAGGGTGGGGGCGGCGGGGGGGCACTGCGGCTGCGGCGCCCCGAGTGGGGGGCCTGGGGAGGAGGGGCGCGCGGGCTGGGCTGCATCTTACCTAGCAGGTAAGGTCGACCCCTCGGAGGGAGGTTTCAAGTCCAGGCTTTTCCTCCTCCAATAAATACAAGAGCTGGGGTTTCGGCCTCAGGGTGATAGAACAGGCCCTAGAGAGGAGATCTAAATTTTTATAAGGATTTCTGAGGGACATCCGAGCCAGCCTGCCACCTTAGAGTCCCCGGATTTGCCACCCTGAGGCACCTCGGAAGAAGAGGGTTCGCCAAGGGCGTCACGATGGCGGGGGTCATGGCCGCTCCGGACTCAGAACGGGGGTCCCCGGGAAGCCTCGCGTCTGGCACTACGGGATTAGCTGCCAGTCAACTAGGGAGAAAATGGACAGATCACACTTTCTCCCTCTTCCCCTGAACGCCTCAGGGAGCAGAGACTCGAACCCAGGGCCGCGGGCAGGGGATGGGGGATGAGAGAGGAATGAGATGTTCTTTATCACCTTCCCACGTCTCTCTGTGATTTTTTAAAAAAGATGTCAAAGATCTACGGAGGACGGCTCCTAAGACCAAAACTCGACTGTGCAAATACCGGCTGAAATGTTTGTTTCACACACAGCTTCCACACCCACTGAACCACCCTATAAATTTTTAACCTTGACCACAAGGATAAGCGAGAGAAAACAAGGATGGTGCCAGCTGAACAGTACAGGCAAATGGTACTTCAGGAGCAGGGCGGGTCGGGAGCCCGGGTGTAGCTGCCGGACCTCTCACTGGGATACCTTGCGGTGTCTCGCCACAAGCAAACGCTCCCCCAAAGTTTTCTGTGGGGGTTAAGGTGACCTAAAAAGTAGTTTCTCCCTGCCTGCCCAGCTTGGCATCAGAGACCTACAAAGATGACATTTGCCACTCTGTTTAGTGCGGTCTTATTTTTCTACTCCAGTCCGGACCCGTTTGGGGTTTCCGCCCCTTCCTGCGCGGGGGACCCTCCTCGGCTCGCAGGCACTGCAGGATGCTCGCGGGGAAACGCCGCAGTCCGGGCGCTGGGCGTGCTCGAAGGCCGGGACTGTCTGGGTCGCCTGCGAGCGCGCCTCGGCCTAACGCGGGGATGGGGGCGGGGCTAGTTTCCTGGTGCAACCAGCTGATTGGCGGGGCTGCCTGTCCTTCAAATCCTGCACTGCAGCGGTTGTGGGGAGAGAGGGTGAGGGTACCAAGGTAGGTTGCAAAACGTTGTTTAAAAAAAAAAAAAAAAGATAAGGAAGGAGGAAAAAAAAACATAGGCGCCATTCAGCGGCTTTCAATAGGTGAACTGCAGGTCACAGCATCTGCAGAGGGGCTTTTCCCCACCGAAACCTGGGCATCTCTGGTGTCTCCTCTCACCTTGTTCCAGGTTCCCGCAGCCCGTCCTAAATCCCTTACTGAGTACGTGTTGAATTGAAAGCCCTCCCCCTTCTTCTCCTCTGACAGCTTGGCGATGCGGGCACACGTGCCCACTACCGCGAGGCTATAAATAGCAGATAATTTGGAAATGGTAACCAGGCAGCAATAACAGGGATCGACATCTTGGGGGTGGCGAATGCTTTATGCGGACCGCGGAGGAGTCTGTGGAGTAGAGACTCCGGGAGTGAGAGCCCAAACGCAACCCTGGGCAAGAAGAGAGAAAGATAATAAAAGAGGTGTTTACTGGTAACAATGTAATCTAGATAAGGCCAAAGGGCTTTTTACAGGTTTGATGTTTAGCCTGAAGGGTGGGCGGGTAGTTCACATTTTGTAGGAAAACAATTCAAATTCGTAGACTCACTTTTCAAAAATGACTTTCTCCCTACCCCATACCGTCCCCCCCTCCTGTCCCTCTTCAGAAAATAGAAAAAAAAAAAGCTAAATAAAGGGAATTTACCTCTATGAGAAATAAAATACTATTTCCTGGAAGGAGGGGAAAACTGAAAGATCCATTTAATTTGCAAACATTTTACAATTATTCTTTCCCGAAAGGCTAAGACTTTGATCATATAAGGCAAATGTTGGGGCCGGGGGTGTGGCACCGTGGTAGAGGACTTGCCTGTCAGTCACTTCAGGGCCTAGAGTCCAATCCCCAATACCACAAAACAAACAATAACAAAAACTTATTACTATAAATGCTTTTAAAAAATGTCTGTCCAGTTGCAAGGGATATTTGCTTTAAAAACACAATTTACGTGGCTAAAATATTTGATAGAAATCATGAAAGGCAGATTTCTGTGACAAATTCTTTTCAGACCAATGAATTTCAATGTGAAAGATAATCACTGATCGTAGGATGTTGTTGCCATTTTTTCGCTCTGCTAATGTTTTACTACCCATGTTTCAAGTGGTTAATATTTATTATAATTTTACTATAGCGAGTTGAATTGTTCTCTAGTTTTTTTTAATAGGTTCAGATAACTAGAAATGCAAATTCATATTTGGTTCATATGATATACAGAATAGAAAGAGATGCTTTTGTAGAATCTAACTGAAGCAATGTTGAGCAGATACATGTATTATGCTGTCACCTTATGCTGAATTAGTCTTGTGTATTGTAATGGCACTGTAAGAGTCACTTCCAACTGAAAATTCGCAGAAATGGAAAAGCAACCTAGTACCAAAATATGTTACTCAATGCTGCCATCTATAGGACAGTTAGAGACAATTTGTATAATAAATAGGGTAAAGTGCATTTTTAAAGAGCTGAAATAATGATTAAAAACATTGCCAGAGCTATGTTGATATCATTAACGAACTTGACATGTCATCGGTGTATTTTTGAGTAATACAAGGCCAACTAGGTTTAAAATGGAAATAATGGATCCAGAAAATTATATAAAATATATAAATTATTACCTATATCCCTAAAGAGCTTGAGTTGGGTGAAGATGTAACTAATCATTTGAAAATTATAAAAGCATTTTATATGCAAATGGATGTTTTCCTTAAGATCAATGAGTCGTGTCAGGCGTGGTGGTGTACATCTGTAATCTCTGCACTAGGCAGGCTGAAGCAGGAGAATTGCTTTGAGTTGAGATCACTCTGAACCACATAGCAAGATCCAGCCTCAAAAAACAAAACAAAGCAAAACAAAATCAATGGGTCATGACTGGAGGAGCTGTTTAAATATTAGCACCTCATAATTCATTTTGCAATTTAGAAAAATACTTGAGGGAAAATGAAAACCAGGGACCAAACTCAGGACCTTGTGCTGGTGAGTCAGGAGTGGCACCACTGAGCTAAATCTCCTTGTAGATTTTTAATGCATATATTACATAGTAACAAATATTTGAATGCATACTTTGCAAGTTGATAGGAAATATATAAAATGAGATCACTTCCTACAGTTTTAATGATGATCATGAGAGGTACAAAATAAAAATAATTGATGTCTAAAGTTGTGTAACTCTTTAATATCAAATAATGGTATTTACTCAAACAGATGGAGATCATGGGGATGAAATAACTAAGGAAATTTTTATGGTGCAGAAGAGCCTTAAGCTTGAACTGTTAGGGTGGTTGTAACTCAGATAAGTGATTAACAGGTTTTATTTCGATTCAGAGCTTTTGAAGCACTTATGTGTTACGCATTAGGCTAGGCACTGAGGATTTAGATCCCTAAGACATGATCCTGCTCACAGAAACCTTATGGTGAAGATTGGCAACAAGTGACCATAATTAGAGATCATAATGATCTCTTTTGTGGAAAAGTGGGCATAGGGTGAATGAAATCACATTATAACCACTTACCTCCCATCTTAAGTCATCAGTCACAAACAGTGCCATTTGGGAGTCTGGAAGTTTCTTCTCCCTTTAAAAACTTTTCTTTTGTAATTAATATCTTTCATCCTTTTGAATTAAAAAAAGAGAATTTAAAAAGATGCATACAGGAGAATTATAAGTGAGGTAGAAGGTCACAACTGATCTGATAATTTACTAGACCACGCTTCCCAGACCTGAGGATCTTCTTAAATGCAGTCCTGCTTCAGAAGGTGCAGGGCGGGCTGAGCATGATCTGTGTGCTGCTGATTACCCTGGTGGCATCACCCTTCAGCAGTGCAGCTCTCGTGACTTTCAGCTAGTTGAAAGGCACGAGGACATGGCACTGTAAAGTGCAAGCCGAGAACTTGCATTTCAGGATTTTATACATTCAAAGATAACAACAGAAGTAATGATTCT